TCCTAAGGAAAGATTGTTCTGGATTAATCTAAGCTTTCCTCATGTAACCTGAGCTCCCCCAAGTGGACAAAATAAGTAATACATACCATCGTATGTAAATGTCACTCATTTATGATGACCAATAATTTGACAATTGTGTCCCTGTTACCAAATGCTTAACTTAGAATGGTACGACTGTTTGACCATTGAGGTTTGATTGTGGAAAATATTTGATTATAATACGCGCAAATAGATTTTCTTTTCTTTTATAGACATTAAAAGTTTAGAAAGGCAGTCCCTCAGGAAACCGGAAACGCCCCCTGGGGGAACCACGCCCCAGACCACAAAAGAGCGACTCTCTGCTCCTCTTCGCCTCTTGTCTTCCGCTCTGCTCTCTGGACGCTTCGGCACGCGTCCAGCGTGCCTCTCCCGGCAACACCCTAAGAATTCCGACCAGCGCAACGAAGTCTTTGTTTCGCTTGAAGCTACACACGCGACGTGCCGCGACATCGATTTTTACCTCAGTTCCAGCAACTTTACTTGTTTTATTTTCTTACTTTTGTTTTGTTAAAGTTATCAGTCCGTTAAACAGTCCTACAAGTTACACTGGTCCAATTCAGGAACGACCAAGTTTCCTTTTTAAGCTTTTTCACCGAGGTCAGACCAAGGCACGTGGTCTCGCCAGAGGCAACGAAGGAAACCTGAAAACAGCCGAATTGCCAGACGGAGGATGGCCAACCTTTGAGGTTTTTCTTCAATCAGACACGGAGAACCCCAGAGAATCCCTAGCAAAAAGCCAGGATCGGGCAGCTAGCGTGGGACCCGTGCAACAGGCCAAAAGCAGGCCGTCGACAAGCAGTAAGACCCAACAAGCATTATGTGATCAGGGATGTCCCATAATGTTAATATTGTCTTTTTACCTCCTAAACTCATAGCTTACTTTCATTAGCTCTCCTCTGCCGTATGAGTCAAATGCTTCCCACAATCGAACCTCACATTCTCATTGTTTAGCTATTGCTTATTTTCCCTGATGTATTTAACCACCTTTTTATATCACCTTAGTTAGTTAATAAATTCACTGTAACCAAGGAATTGTGTGTGTTGACTATTTCTACGTCCCTGCCAAGAGAATTGACCCTTTAGATATGAGACTGACTGATTGATTTAAGATAATTGAGCAATTATTAACTAACTGATCACTGGTGAATAATTGTATAATTATTAAAAGCTACCTAGAGGTCCGGAGACTCTAGGATAATAACAACTCCGATGGTGCCCTTTTTAAACGAGAGCTTTTTATGGATTAATATATTTTTTAATTGGGTATTAATTCTCATAAATTTACTAAAATTCATAGCTTAGACATGCTACAAAAGAATATGTTATCGTTTTTAAATAGCCGGCTACTTGAAATAGACCCGCGGGGAACGCTACGTGCATGCAGTTGTCGGTAGCAGTAATGCACGTAAAAGTCTGTACAAGACCGGTGAATGACAGGCGAGAAAGAGAGAGAGAAAAGGGTCTTCAAAAAGCCTCAGTTTAGCTGGAAATTTACAAGTTGAATGAAAAGAGACTGCAGCTCTGCAGCTTCTCAAGATTAAAGTGGAGCTACCGTGTGCAACTCTTTTCTTGCTAAAGCCTATTCCAAAGCGCATAATGTAGGCATCTTTATCTTTCCCGCACGGGAATGATTTAGTGATGTCAGAGTATGGAAACATCGTTCGAAACAATTGTCTCATTTCCTCATTTGTGTTATAGGATTGGTGTCTAGTGTAGAGTACAACCAGTGGACACATATTTCATATTAAGGTGAGGTGAGCTGTGTTTTATTACAGATCTGACTGACCCACAGAGTTGGCCTTTCTGTCCTTCAAAGGAAGGACACAGCCTTTGATGTTTTGATAAGAACCCCTGCATAAATACCAAACTTAAATGTTTATTCTGGGACCATTTCTGGCCACTCTGGCTGCAAAGGTGTCACTTGCAGATGCTTTCCAGGAGGACAAGAGGGTCAAGTAACCACGGAAACCCGGCCTTACTCCTGCAGTCCTGCACACATCAAAGGCAGACACCCCCTTCTCTTGCCCTGGTTCTCTACCACAAGAGTAGTCAGAAGCCATAAAACTGGGACTTTAACATACACCCACACACACAAACACACACACTTACAACAAATGCTGCCCACTCCCTGAGCTGCGCTGATGTTGAACTGATCAGAAGGTCCTGGCTGGAGAAGAGGACACAACCTCAAATTTGTGTCTCTCACTATAAACATGTCTTGTTTCATTTCTTTTAGTTAAATCGTCTTTGTTAAGTTAGGGAGTGGCCCTCTCCTCTTCAATTTTGAGCAGTTTATTTACCCTGTTTACAGGTTTAGAAACTATGTTGAAAGCTAAAGAATCATAGGTTAAAGTTAATTTGAAGTGCTCTTAACTTCATCTCCTTGTGCTCATTTATCTTCCTGTTTGTGTTTATTGTTTACCCTGATGCCGTGCTTCAACTACTTTCTTATATTTTCTTATTAAGAACATTTAACAATCAATATTCTCCTGGGAATTGTTTATTCATCTGCTATGATTACAATAAATTGTGTTGTTAAACTGTAACAGTTCAGTTCTTTGCTTAGAAATTAAGAAATATATAACTGTTTATGACATTTAAGAAGTGTTGATATTGTAAAAAGAGATATGATTAAAACACAAGCAAATAGACATTACTCTTAAATTAAAGTTTAACACACAGGTCCTGAAAATCCCTGTTCTTGCCGTGCTTCTAGGCGTGCGGCTCGACAAGCCCCGCTGAGAGGCCGTGAACGAAACTGACCGGACCGCCAGCCGTGGGCCTTTTTGAGCAACAGACGACTGAGGAAACAACAATGCAACAAACTCGACATTGTGTGATCAAGCATGATGTCCTTTAGCTCTGAAACCCATAGCCTAATTATAAACTTAGTTATTGCCGTAGAACCTGCGTCCATTTGTTTCCTGTATTTCCTCAGATTCATATTCTTTTCACAATAGCCAAACTGCATTTACATCGAACCCTATTAATTTTGTTCTGTCTTCCGTTTATTGCATTCTTGTTGTTGCTTAATCATTGTTGTTTATTTACTTTATATCCCTATATACTCTCACTTGTGTTCACTATAGTTGGTTTATAAATATCCACTTTGATCCCAGAAATGTGTGAGTGTACTGCTTTAATAGGTAATCCCGGTCAATGCACAGAGAACTTCCTCTCAGATTGAGACTGATTGATTAAACTGACTGATGAAAACTGATTTAACAATAACTAACTGATCACTAGTAACTAATTGTTGTAATTATTAAGCTATACCCAAGGAATCCTAAAAGCCTGTGGTGGACAGTGATTTTTAGGCATTGCCCCTTTTGAAAGATTGTTTATGATATTAATATTTCCCAATATTATTATTCACAAAGTGTAGGTTCACTACACTAGTCACTGTGTGGAGGACCCAGAGCACCTCCCTTCTTAGTGTTGGCTCTGATCCAAAACACATACATGCACACTCAAAAGGGAAGAAAAAGGTGATGTCTGTAAATAAAGCATTCTGATGTACTCCCAGAAGAAAATAAAGTTATTTCCAACTGTTCCTCAGTGTTATTGTGTCTGGCTAAAGCTTCAAAGATGTGATGGCTGCAACATTGCAATTACTGAAATTACTATTCAGTGTTTCCCCTAGGATGGAGCAGCAGAGGTGAAGCAAACTTATTTTATTCTGCGCTTGCAAAGTGGGCCCTGCTTTATCAATACAGCATGTATGTAAACTTATTAGTAACAAATAAATAAATATGCAACTCCACGTAATCCCACCGTTCTTTCTTTGTAATGTCTATCAAGATGCATGTGTACAGGCACAGAGCTGTCACCTGACTGCTAATCTTTTCCTCCACTAACTTTCACCATCACTTTCTGTCGCTCTCTCTCTCACATTTGCTCGCTCACACACAAGGCACTGTAACAGCACCTGTCATGTCTAAAGCGTTGTGGGAGCATTTCAATGAGCATTACAGGTAGCGTTACATCGACACAGAACAATTAAGACCTGTTTAAAATTATTTAAGACCTAGAACACAATACTTCATCGGCCTAAAATTTTGATTTTGATATTTTGACTTTTTTGTTTTAGACTTTTTGAGACTTTTTAAGACCCCACTGCATGAGAATAGCAAAATTGGTCTGTGATTTTTATAGGGCAGGGCAGCCCTAACCAACACCTTGATTGGACTCCAGGTTGGCTGACTCCTCACTCCAATTAGCTTTTGGGGAAGTCATTAGCCTAGGGGTTCACATACAGTATCTCACAAAAGTGAGTACACCCCTCACTTTTTTGTAAATATTTGATTATATCTTTTCATGTGACAACACTGAAGAAATGACACTTTGCTACAATGTAGTGAGTGTACAGCTTGTATAACAGTGTAAATTTACTGTCCCCTCAAAATAACACATCACACAGCCATTAATCTCTAAACTGCTGGCAACAAAAGTGAGTACACCCCTAAGTAAAAATATCCTAATTGGGATATCACTAACTTATTCCGGAGGATTATTATATCCAGCCTTCTTCAGGGTAAAGTTAAACACATTTGGATTTGGGGTGTAATAAACATTTAAGCCTCTGTAGAATCAATAGCGAGGCTTTAGATTTTTTGTGTTGACAAATTGTGCTGAAACACCTTACTTAAATTTAAAATTACTTTAACTTCTATCATTTATTAAATCACACATGTAATAAACCTAATGCTTGTACATTTTCTTTAATAATCATTCAAAGTCAAGAGGTGGTTTGCAGGAACAACTTGGTAACAGAATGGTTACCAAGTATTGAATAAAACTGTGCTGTGTTGCATGCCATGCCCTCTGTCCATTAAAAACTGCAGTAGATCTCTCAACACCATGATATTGTCCACTCCTTTGAAGAAATATGATGGACTTGACTGCTTGGACAGACACAGTGTTGTTGTACTTCACCTAAGGAACAGGCAGACAGCCTCAACCAGAGTTCCCATTTCATTTATTAGATATGGTTTATAAATAGACACACTCATATGACACATATGTTGAATGTATAAAAAATACAAGATAACAGGATTATCTGAACATTTTAGTGAGGTCTCTTCTTCATTGTCTTTGACATGTTTTTAAACTTGAATGACTGACAAAAATGGAAAATTCTTTATTTTTTACACAGCATAGTAGTTTTCACTTTCACAAGACCATTCATCAAGCAAGTTGCTATCATCAACATCATGTTAAAATGAGATCACAGCATAGAAAACAGTCACATGCAGCCAGCAACTTTTCAGCCAAACAAGTATAACTCAGTGAAACAGAGTTTCAAATATATAAATGTGATTCAAGTTCCACTGTTCATTCTTACAAACTTTAAGGAAAGCTGATGTCACAGGGAAAAGGTTTGTATGGAAAACAATGATTGACTGGGAGAAAACTTCTTATTCAACCTTTACTGAGGACCGATTGATGAATGCTCCTTCACGTCTTTAAGATATGTTGAGTCAGTTGTTAAATGGAGTCAGTCAAACCATTTTTAAGTAGTTCGGATATTAGCATTGTATTTCAAACATACATAAAGTTCCAGTGAGACTAGGTTTGTAAGTTTCAAATCATCATCAATATGCTGGCAGGAAATTTGGGATTTAGGACACTACAAAAACAAAATAAAGAAATGTACTGTATTTGGAGAGATGATGCAACATAGCTAAGTTGCATTGATTCTTTCTAAAACCTCTGCAACCAATGAGCAATACAATGGTTCTGTTTTGCTAAAATCAAAACAGACAATATAAATCACACATGTAATAAACCTAGTGCAGCACAAATACACAACTAATGTCTTCTTCAAGCATTTATGTACCATATAGCTACTGTGCCAAATCTGGCTCACCTTGTTCTAAGGACAATAAATCCTGCTGCTAATTCATACATTTTTATTTTTAAACATATCTAAAAATACAACTTTTCAACTTAAGTGTTATAGGAAATTGCATGATTTCTTGGTATTATAGCAAGTTTTGTTTTTGTAGAAGGTAACTCTCACTATTCACAGTGTTTAAAACTGAACCAGGCCAACAGGCCAACATCTACTGCGTGGCTAGTAACTGGCACCATTTCAACATCAATTGTTGCTTTCAAGTCCAGTAGTGCTCCAGCAATTCTGCAGAGCAGAATTAAAGAACTTCTGAATTTAGCCTTTCTCCAAAGTAGACTTGAAGAGGAAAACATTAACGATAAGTACATCCACGTCAACTATATCCTTCCTACATAAGAAACAATAAATGTTGTGCTTGTTTTTCTGTAGATGTTTCAAGTAGCACAACTTTTTCAGTTTTCATTATTTTTCCTGTCGAGGATTTTTGTTGCCACCACATATTTCAATAATTTATCTCAATATTAATATAAACTTTCTTTACAGATGTGTATAATATGATATAATATAATATAAACAACTTAACTTGTGGTACTTAACTCAAGAAGCAACTTTGCATAGAAAGTATTCAAGTAGCTAAGAAAATAATGTTTAATATTTTCTGCCTGATATACCATTAAAATTAGATGTACTCACTAGTTTTCAAAAAACATAACAGTTGTTGCTGATAATTACAAAAAAAACTACAAAAAATCTAATACCAGAATATCAGTTTATCAGAATGTTTGAATGTTTTATAACAGTAAATGACCAGAATACAGATAAATGGCTCGGGGTGGATAAAAAGTATGTACTTGTTAAAAAGATTAAAATAAATAATGCACTGTACTCATTCTGCACCTGACAGGAATATTCTGAAAAAGAATAATACTGGCCAAGCGTTATTCTTATTATATATTTTTAACAAAATACTTATCTACAAATGTTTGTAATTGGATTGATATATAAATATGTGTAACAATATATATGTATTTCTATACATATATATTTACAACAAAAGGTGCACTTAAATAATGTCATCAAGGAGATGTGGGGTGCCTACCCAGTCCAACGTCCTGGGCTCGGAGGCAGCCATAATCATGCACATAAACTGTTTACCGGTCCTCTTATCAATAGGATAAATAGTTGTAGGTATGAACCTTCTATTACTTTCCACAAACTCACAGAGCTGCTGATACACCTGTGGGTATTCATGGCGTAGGAAAACCCCTCGAATCCTTAACTCCCGTTGTATATTAATAAAACAGATTTCCCTGGCCTTCCTGCCTTCCTCTCCCTCTTTGTCGATATCTGCTGTTCCCGGGGGTGGTGTGAGGATCAGCGTTTCCATGTCACTCTCTTTCTTGTGAACCTTTCTCTCAGGGCTGAAGGAAGCGAGTGCTACCTTTGCATATTTTCTGACAGTTGGAGCTTGGTTCCTTGGTGATGGCCCATCAGGCAATTGCTCACCAACAGCAATGGATACATTCAAGATGAAACATTCGTTTGGGTCGTACTCTTTACCAGCTTCCTGCAGCTCTTTACAGTACTCCCCCAGATTGTCCTTGAAGCTTTCAAGCTCTCTGAGGGACAGGTATGTCGGAGACATAAGTAGACTATCCAAGCCATACTGCAGGAAGTTACTGGATGATGCAGGGTTTGGAAAACCAAGGAAGAGAACTCCTCTACCTCGAGAAAGGTAGCCAACTTTGGCAATACGGGAGAAGGCTTTGTGGACTTCAACAGTCTCCCGGCAGTGTTTGATGATGTGCCGGCATGTGCTGCCAATTCTTCCATAAAGGCAGCTTTCTTTATGAATGTCCCAGTCCTCCCTCCGACAGTTACGGGAGCAGTAGTAGGTGTAGCAGCTGTGGCAGGATTTAAAATATAGGCAAGCATTGAACAGGGTCTCTGTCCTCCGGCATTTGTTGTTAGAGCACATCATTGTATCATCCTCATCTGGGCTCTGATCTGGGGAGCACTCATCTGCACTCTTCATTGCATCACTGGCCCCGTCCATGTCTCGAAAAGCATCAGGATTCATTCTTATTGAGGTTGGCTGCTTGTCAAGAGGTGCTGGTTCCTCTATACCTGCCTTTGAGCTCTTTCTGGACAGAGATACTGCTTCTTCCTCATCAATTAACTTCTTTAGTTGATCCAGAATGTCCTCACTTGCCCTTCTACTGGGTGGCTTGTAATCAGTGACAAGATCTGCCAGAAGCTCATCAAGTTGTTCAAGGCTTTGCTGTAATGAAGAGTTGTCACGTGTCTTCTCTTTGGTTGAGCTGCGAAAGTCATGTTGAGACAGTTCTTGACCCTCAGTGCTTCTGGTGTCAAGAATGTCCCAACTGGCAGAACGTCCTTCAGCCTTATTAAGTTTTCCTGGTCGAATGTCATTATCAGTGATTGTTATCTCAGGTGTGACAAACCAGAGTTTACTAGTAGTGCTCTTTGATGTCTCTGTTGGGCTTTTGTCAATTAATGAGTTATCAGACATTGATAAGGCTGCATAGCGTCTTGGTGAGCTGGAGAGATTGACTACCACTGGTTGTGGTTTGTCACCTGTGGCTGCTGCAGGCTTCCTGGACTCAAGAAGATCATCATAGCTCTGACCCCGCTGTACAGGTAGAGGTTGTTCCTTCTCTACACGAGAGTTAAGAATATTGTCCCAGGACCTTGAGTACGATTTGGAATCTGTGCCAATTCTTTGAAGTTCTACACATGGGTTGGCATACCAGGGTGTAAACACAGGCTCTTGACGAACTCTGGTTGGAGTGACTTGAGATACATATGAGGCAGGATTGGTGGAATAACCAGATGCGTCTGAGCCATACCAGTCATCTGTTTGTGCCTGAATGACTTTAGCATGTCTTCGACCCTCTGTGTAATACGCCCTTGCTGGGATATGATGCTCTGGTGGCATTGCATACATGTCGCTGGAATAATAAAACCTTGGCGGAGCAGTCTGTATTTGATAATACCTTGGATCATCCCCATAACATATTCTTGTTGGAGGTGTCTGTATAATGTATGGCCCTGGTTCATTTGCTGCATATGGTTTGGGATACCCTGCCTGTACAGAGTATGGATAGGTCTCCATCTCGGGATAAGAGGGTCTTGTAGCTACAGCATGCACCATTCGAGTCCTTGGATCTTGCACATATTGCACTTTTGGAGTATATGTTTGTCCTGGTGTGTAACGTTCATCATGAAAGAAAGAACTTGGTTGAGGAGGAGCAGTAGTAACATATCTCCCTGGATCATCTGCATAAAAGAACTTGGTTGGCACATTAGGACTGGAATGAGCTCTTCGTTCCCTACCATAGTAATCACTTGATGGCATTCTTTGCAAGGGAATCTCCATTGGTTGTAAGTAACTATTTGGCATGCTGCGGGAATATTGATAAGCTTGCCTACTCTCTGTACCTAATGAATCAGTCGGAGTTGGTGTTCTAGAGTAGGAGAAATGACGTGGCACAGTCAGACTCCTACTCCCCCCACTGTGGTGCCTCTGCCAGGGTATGTCCACTTGAGGTGTAGCCTGTTTCCGTCCCGAATGATGTAATGCAGCGTTATCGGGTTTGATGTCCACCCGACACCTGACATGAGGACTAGTTGCTGGTTTATCCAGCCCTCCATCCTCAAAATTATCAGCAGCGTAGTTAGGTGAATATTTTGTGTTGTCACTCATTTGAGGCTGCAACTTAATGGGATGGACTTCATGCATATGAGCCCTAGTGGCTGCATAGGAAGACTCCCTACGCGGTGATACTTCTGGTCTCCAGTGAGAGTCTTTTGGAGCCCTTTGGGACTCCCTGCCCTTTCTTCCCGAAGATGAAGATCCTTCAAAAGACACAGGAGTGAGACTGGTCTGGACCCGAGGGGCACTTTTTGACCTGGTCCTTCTTTTTTGTTCAGGGACAACTACCTCACTGGCCATTTCTGCAGCCATTGGTTGAGGAGTTAACCTATGGCTGAAAATGTCCGGAGCAGAAAAGCGGTATCTCTGCTGTCGGCCCAAGGCATTCCAGGCAACATCTGGATTGGCTGCATGCCTATCAGCCTTCCTGTATGGAGACTCCATTGAGTATTTGTGTGATTTGGGGTACTCCAATGACTTATAGTCAAAGGTACGGCAGTGCCTCTTATTGACTTTGCTCTTACTGTCATCCACTGTGCTGTAATTTATATAATCACATTGTTTGGAGGGTTGCAACGACTTGTAGTGTGAAGAAATTGGGACCACTTTTATATTTCGATGCACAGTTGATACCAGTATGTCAGGCGGGTCTGTGCGTGTCATCTTAAAGGGACTCCTCTAGTTTTCTCCATCAAGTTGCTTTAATTTTGATGTTGCCTGGAGAGATAAACAAAGAATTTCTGTCAGTGACATTTAATATAAGTAATGTATGTATGTATGTAATGACATGTAATCTGTTTTCACCTAAACTGACCCACACTAAACGCACCCACAGCTTCACAGCTTCTTCACTTACAAAAACAAAGAATACTCATGGGTTTTGAAAGAATGAAACTATTCTGAGATCCATCTCATATTTCTCAAATGGCTTTCTCTGTAACAAGACATTCCTTTGAAGGCTAAAATAAGTTTCTCTGATGAGTTTTGACTTCGTGCTGTCTTCAATGACGGCAATGGCATCAAAAGTATGGCCAAATATAAATACATGAGTCTAAATCTGTACAAAAGGCATCCAAGCAGTACAGTATTACTGATCTTGAGAGTGCTCAAGTGTCTCTTGAGACTGCCACAAGTCAACTTTACCTGTGTAGCCTGATGTCAACGTACTAATTGGCCTACAGGTCTGCAACTTCACAGTGAAAATCAGTGAGTTTTTGACCAAGCGTTATAGAGCAGTATGTTTGAGAGCTCATGTTGTTTGTATCACATGTAAGAGCATGTGGCAATGCACTACGGTTTTGCACTGTTCCACTATTTGGCAGTTGTTTGTGGTAGTGCAGCCAGACCGATAGCAACGCCAGCAAAGGCAGGAAAGAAGAAGTGGAGAAGACAGATAGCAAGCAAGTATGAACATAAACAATGCAGGATTACACACAACGCATTTTGGTGAGAAACACTAAATGATGTCAGAACCTCTGCTCCATGTGTCTCCAAATATGCTGCTGCTAAGCCAAGAGTCTTTCTGTTGGGGCCAGAGGAGGGCATTGAGACCATCAGAATTCACAAGTTTCTGGTATTTAAGTCAAAGTCCAGTTACGAGTATTTTTTTCATTTTGTCAAGTCTTAGCCCAAATTAAAGTCAAGGCCCAAATTCTTGACTTTAATCTAACTCAGTCTATGTTCTATATAATGACGAGTATCCCTGTTTCCCTGACTCTTAAGTATGGCTACAGACAAGACTGAAAGCACAGCATTCACAGACGCAAACACAAATACACACGTTTGTACTTCTATACATGTGATAGTGAAGCTTAAATCTTTATAATAACCGCATAACTGTAGGTTTTGTTAGTAAGGTGCATGTTAACTTTTCAATTCATGTTAACTATGATCTGCGATGGACTGGCGACCTGTCTAGGGTGTACCCCGCCTCTCGCCCGATGTCAGCTGGGATTGGCTCCAGCCCCTCGCGACCCTGTATGCAGGATAAGCGGTTGACGATGGATGGATGGATGGATGGATCTTTTAGTACAACGCAGAAAAAGGCACTTTTTGGATACCAAAATGCTTCAGTTAACTTTAGTCAAAGCTCTTAGACTCAAAACACAGACAGCACCCAAAAACAAGTTCACGGCTGGTTAGATGTACACAGTGTAGTAGATACGATTCGCTTCTATCCTGATTGACAGGTCACCGTGGTTGCAACTTGACAAGAAGACAACATATAAAATAGGGCTTGTTGAAAAGACTAAGTGGGGTTGAACCTGATCACAACATGGAGAGGAGACTGTAAAATATAAAATATATAGAGTGCGAGAGGCTGGGATCACTTATTATCCCCACCTGTAACCTCAACTGGCATCTCTATCCATCCATCCATCATCAACTGCTTATCCTGCGTACAGGGTCGCGGGGGGCTGGAGCCAATCCCAGCTGACATCGGGCGAAAGGCAGGGTACAACCTGGACAGGCCGCTCAACTAGCATCTTTTAAAGTTTTTTTTAGAGTAAGATTTTTTTACCATTTGTGATGGCAATTCGAGTTTTCAAATAGACAGCTTAGGCAAACACTTGTCTTTCTGTGAATTTTATTCAAGTCTTCTGCAGAAGGAACTCACTGGGACACACATGCATCAGAGTATCATCCGAGTGACCATCCTGAGTTTCTCAGCACATGCAGCTTTTATCAGTCACACTTTGTAAAATCCAGGGATGTCTTTATAATAACTGAGAACCTGAGGAATCTGTGATTTAATCAAACCTTATTGAAGAGCAGACTCAAATGAACCCAACATGTGCTCTTGTTGTGTCAATGTCACACTTAACATGCTTGTAAATAGCTCAGCATGACTAAGCCAGGAAGTGTAAAATAAACTAAATGTTACTCTTTAATTTCAATAGTAATAGTTGTAGCAATAGTAAGAGTGATGGAGATGTCCACTCTAATCTGTTGAAGATTATATATATTTTTGGTCATGTTGGTCATGAATCACCATAAGTCATTAAATTAAAAGCAATTATGTTAATAACAAGTATAAAATAATGATTTGAACACTATCTATTAAAAAGTGTACAGTAAATCTGAGACTGCTGTGCCAATGTCGCCATCTCACAAAAGACCATATAGTAAATAGTATAGTAAAAGTACCAGTTGAAGACTGTGTGATAAGCGATACTGACATTTAAAATGAGTGATCATAGACATGTTTAGAGGAGATAGAAAGTTGTTTTCTTAATGACTGTGTCTGAGTAGGTTATTTCACCTTTTACCAAAAGCTTTATTTTCCTTATCCACATTAAAATGTAAGTTGGTGTTTTCATATTTATCCACCCTTGACTATTTATACCAAAAACACCATCTTAGAGTGGACAGTAGCCCAAAGCAAATTCAGCTGGCTTGCATAGGAACTAGTATTCCTGTAGGGACTGTTTATCTACACGGTGGGGAAGATCCACTCACATTTGCTTACACTGCTGATGCTGTAAGTAAAATACACCAAACATTTATTAATTCTGTTTTGTTTTACATGCGTCTTGCCAGACCAGTTGGAGTGTATGTACTACTTGGGGTCTAGTTGGTATAATTTCCTAACTCTGAAATGTTTTTTTGATGTTCTTGATGTTATTTTGTAGTCATGAAGAACAAATGTTTCAAGCTTTCTATGCATTAAATTGGTTTATACTGAAACATCTCTTGTCAGAATGATTTCAACAGACACTCCTGGAATAAGTGCTAGTTACACTTTCCAGTAATAGTGTCTCCAGAATATCCTTCACAGTCTTAAAAAGACAAAAGGTGACAATTCCATTTTCCTGTAATTATAGAGTCAAACCAATAAAAAAACACTGTTGTTCAAAATGTTAAAAATAACATCTAATTTTATTTGAGGATGGCCTGTGATCATTTCTCCAATCAGTAGCACCTGGAATAGGAACATTCTAAGGGCTGGGTAATGGCTCAAACTGTTCCCTTTTTCAAGAGATAGTGAATGACTATCAGTAATGGATGTCACTTCTACAGTGGACTTGTAGCAGTGTTACTCTTGGTCAATGAGCATAGTGAACACTGTTTTCATGGTGCATTGTGGGAATTTCTATAACACTGAACTATCAGTGCACTATTGGCATTGAACACCCTAGAAAAAAGAGTGTCAGAGTTAATTCATACTGATATATTTACATTTACACATCTTATGTGTACCATTTTTTGCTATTCTATATTGTAATTTTGACTGTGAATGGTCTCCCACTCTGCAAACCTAGCTAACTAAAGCAGAGGGTAACAAGGGGTTAAACTGGGAGTTTTAAGGAGGGCAGCTCAGTTCCCAAGCCATATATGTGCCAACTTGAAGAGAGTAGGGAGATGGGGAATTGGAGTGTCGCAAGAGCAGATAAAGTTACAGTTGTTTTCTTGCTGCCTACTATGAAAATTATATGGAGTCAGTCTCAATATTAATGAATGAATGCACACAGAAGGATTATGAAAATGTATTTCTGATGCATGCAAAATTTTTCTTGTTTTTACATAAACTAAATTTAAATCCACACATATATGTATTTAAAAGTATTTGCAATTTTCAGTAAAAATATATTTGGATGTTGTTACATTTTATGTACAAACTGTCAAACATACATTATACACTTCATTGCATTTGTGTGGGTTTTTTGAGACTCCCCTGCCATGGCTGAATTAAAAAATGCATGCATGCAGGAAATTATCTGTAGCCAATCAGATGGCTCCTTCCACTTCAGCCAATCACGTAAGCGTAGATTTGAGGGTTTTTGACTAATGAATCATCAATCACCGTCATCATGGCATGGCACACGCACTACCTCCTTGTGCCCCCCTGAGAGTCAGCGTTTCCATGCATGCTACCTCCTGCTTACCGCTTCAACTACACTCCTCCTATTCACTCTGTTCCTTGGCTTCCCTCTCACACACCTGCTCCTCTGCCTGTCGGCATAGATGTTGAAGCTGCAGCAAACATATCTGTGATTGCTGCACATTTGACAGCATCTGCATCTAGATTCTTCATTTTTTCTGGCCCACAACTTCTCAGCACCCGCTCCATTTTCACATTTTCACCCACATTGAGCTTCAGAAACCACGTCATGGACACTATGTCCATGTTTTATACAGTCTATAGTATAAAAGCACCGTCTACTGACCAATCAATTCTTTTCACACCGCTGGGGTTGCAGCTGAAAGAATAAAGCTGAAATTATCCTTCTGCTGCCAGTAGACTGCCATGTCTGCAATTGGTCATATGCTGCAAACACTGCCCCAGTTATGTGAACACACTAACGGCTAGATTGGGAAAACCTGGGCTAATTTAGATTATAACCTTTGATTTGATTGCAATATCCTGGGTAACTTGCTTCATAGTACAGGCCTCAGCCTGAACTATTCTGATGGACGTGACCTAATAAATTACAAACTCTAACTAACTAATAACGTTGCACTGTACACTGATAGAAAGGTATCGCAATACTGCCTTCTATTGATAAAAATACTTTAATGACAGTGAATTTATGAAACTATGGCTACACCAAAAAAACAAACCATTCAGAAGCCAAAAATTCTTGCAAAACACTTTAAACTCTTTGAAAAAATTGTGTTTTTGCATCAATACAGTACACACAAGTGTCTTTGAGTAAGCACACGAAGCAGCAACTAAGTACTAATAGTAAAAATGCAGTTGTGACCTTATAGTAAAA